TAAGATCCCACATGCCTCCCAGCCAGAAAACAAAACCAAAACATAAAAAGCAGAATCAATATTGTAAATTTGTAAATATTGTAAATATTTACATAAAACATAAAAACCAGAAGCAATAGTGTAAATGTTGTACATTTGAATCTTGTAAATAATTCGATAAAGACTTTTTAAAAATAAACACAGCACCAAACTAATTTAGGGGTGAAGTGAAAGAGTACATTCCTCCAGACCTTCCAAAAGGGAAGAAAGCCATAACAGAAAAACATGCCAGAGCCATACAAAAATACACAACATAACTCACACAAATTGTGAATGGCACAATTCTGTTTGTTCTGCCACAATACAAAAATGGGGAGTTTTTCATCCAGATAGAAAATAAAAACTAAGCAAAAATTAGCAGCACTCTGATATGAATCGGCCCATGATGATACTTTCAATACACCATCATACCTACCCGATGATCTGGCCCCCTGCCCCCAGCAGTAATTCATTCTCATCTTGGCTTCTGTTAACTCTACGTTTCAGGGGTTCAAGAAGCAAAACAGTCGTGTCTTTGACCATCCCAGTTTCCGACCCTGAGCTTCCAAGTGCACCTTCTGGGGTTCACACTTTCTCAAGCACCTCAAGCAGTGCAAGACATCATCCGATATCCATCTTCACAGGTCTTTCCTGTCCCACGGCCCCTCTGGGTCCCTCCAGTTCTCTGATCTTTTGGGAGATGGTCCTGACTGCCTAGAAGCACCAACATCTATCATTCTGGGGACCTAACCCCCCGGGGTTCATAATTCCATCTGCTCTTAGCGTCTCCAGAGTGCTCTCTCTGTTCTCTCCATCTTCCTTCTCATAGATTAGGGGACTTTTTTTTTTTTGGCCTCGGGAAAAGTCTTTCTTCCCAAATTTCTACAAGATTCATAGTCTGTTGGCCCCAAACTCCTTTGCCTGCTTACCAAATATATACACATTTCTTTTTTAATTTAAAAATGCCTTTTTGTAAAACCGAAGCTAAAAAAACACAAAAAGTGTCTTGGCTGTTTTTGACTCTGTCATGTGCCTGCATGAAGGCAAGGAGCCTGCTTCCATGGACACAGGGCAGGTGAGAAACCAGGGCACATCAGAAATGTCACCCAGACACACAAGAAACACATTTTTCCTCTCCTTTCCATCACCCAAGTTTTTAAAGTGGTCAGATGTGGTTTCTTTCCTGGCTAATGAGATTGTTTGAAAGAAACACCAGAATAAGAGTTTCTCTCCTGTCCCCACTAACAGTCCCTTCCTGCCTCTATTTCTCCAGCAGCCCCTGCCCATGTCTGCCCCTCTCACTGGTCACTCCTTTTCTCTCCCATCACTGCCTCTTCCCGGCCTGGTTTGCACATTCTGAGAGAAGTTGGCCGGAAGTCACCACTGCCCCCCGTCCAGCTCAAGAGAAACAGCAGCACCAAAAAGTTCGGGTGCATCCCTCAAAATGTGTTAGCCTGTGATGCCCCATCCCCACCCCTGCACCGACCCCAAGTCAATACTTCTCCGAGCGCTTTCTGACTCCCGCATCCCCAAACACCCTCTTCAGCCTGCACCTTACTTGGCCTCCAGAAGAGATGGCCACTCCCTCTTCCTTAAAAGTCTCTCCTCCTTAGATACAGCTTGAGTGGCGCCCACACTCACCTGGGTTTTCCTCCCCCTGGGTCACAGCCTGCCCTCAGGATCCGACCCTTCTGTCAACCCGGTAATCCCTAACGCTCCCCAGGGTTCTGTCCTTGGTCCTCTTCTATTCCACCTGCCCTCACTGAACAAGTTCAACCTCTCTCAATGCTGTGATGCCTGCCAAACCCACAAAACATTCCCTTCCCCTACTTCCCCCCTCCAACCCCTCCCCCTTCCCCCCTCTACCTTCTTCCTCTCCCCCAATCTCTCAATTTCTGACACATGTTTGCAAGTCCCTAGAAAAGGAAAAGCTGGAGAGAGGATAAGAGTGCTCATTTCCTACAATGGAAAAAAATATCAGGACCGGAGTGCAGACCAGGACCACCGGATGGCTAGACTCCAACTCCACACCAGAGAGGATTTTCCAGCAAGTAGCGCTAACCAGCAGTGGACGGGCTCCTTCTGAGGGAATGAGCTCCCCGTGCCCGGAAGTAGGGAGAGATGATTCCTACACACACGAGCAGGCCAAACTAAGCAACATCCATGTTCTCTCCCTATTCTGAGGTTGTACCTCTCAGCTCAGAAATCAGAGATTCAGATATATAGTAGCTTTTTGGCTTTGGGTTTTGTGGTTTGTGTTTTTTTGGGTACCAAAAATGAAAGTTCTTCACTACAGGATGCTGGTTAGAAGTCACTGTGACGTTTCCTTTTTACTCAATTATTTCATATATAACCATGATTTGTTGTTTATCTGATAAGCTGTATCACAAACTCATTGGTCATCCACACACTCTATAGTGTTTGGAGAACAAAGTTCATATGGTCATTGACGGAAGGCTTTCAGAGTAAAGGATGGTTGCAGATCTGACCACTTCTGGACGTTTCTCTCTGTCCTATTTCTACACACCGTCTTAAAGAAACAGGGAGGCTGAGGAGTCAGACATGGTCCTGCCTTCAGAGAGCTCTCACTCTGAAGAAGGAAGTGGACCCAAATGCCGGCGATTACAGCAGAGGGGGTCAGGTGCTGTGACACTTGTCAGAGAGAATGAGGAAGACAAGGCAGAGGTGGCATCTTGTTTTAGGATAACAACGTGTCTTTACATACATCACTGCAAAATCTATATTAAAAAAACAAAAATACAAAAGCAAATTGCCAACACCTCCACTGTCTGATCAAATTGTTTCCATTTGTCCATGTTAATCCTTATCCGTAACATATGCCATTTTTTCAGGTTTCCAATAATATCAGAGTGGTTCTAGAGCCTTGTATTTTCACTTATTATATCATTAGTATTTTTCCAAGTCCCTACTTTTTTTTTTTCTTACTCACACTTCACCCCCTTGAGATAACCAGGGTTCACAGCCTGGGGAGTCACCCACCTGTCTACACCTTTCTGTTTGATCCACCCTAGAAGAGGGCATCAGAATGAGACCTAAACCAGAATAACTGACTAACCCCTCCCCTCTTTTCCTGTTCTCCTGACATACCCAACTTTCAGTTGTAAAAACCATTCTAACGTCTTTAAGAGAATATTGCTGGGAAGACCCAAGAAGAATGGCAGAGAGTAACTTTTAAAAAGCAACAAGAGCCCAAATGCACCACCATTCCATGGACCACAGCAGCCTGTCAATTTTCTTTGCTCAGTTACTCATGCACATGTGCTTCTTACTTTCTTCCTTCCCTCCAACATACATGGAATCTCCCCACCTCGTGACTTCTGCTTCTGCTCTTTCAGCTGCCTCGTAACTACACATGCACCCACATAACCTGCCCATACCACCAGTTTTCTTTTTGGTGACTCTGCCATGGTCCTCAATTCCTCAATGTTTCTTGGCTCAATTTCTCAAGGTCCTCTTTTCACATCAGACATACTCATGGCCTCATCAGCCGTGGCGCTGGGAGGAGTATAGCAAGAGTGGTGTGGGGTTGTGGTCTACGACTGTCTCTCCAGGAAGGACAGCGGAAGAGACCGTTTTTCTCCCTAGGACAGTCTTGGCCATGAGGGCTCCTCACAGTCAAAGCCACTGCCCTCCCTCATATGGTGCTGCCTTATTCACGCATTTTACACATGCATCTTTAGTTGTTCAGTCGTGTCCAACTCTTTGCAACCCTATGGACAGTAGCCCGCCAGGCTCCTCTGTCCATGGGATCCTCCAGGCAAGAATACTGGAGTGGGCTGCCACTTCCTCCTCCAGGGTACCTTCCCAACCCAGGGATCAAACCCACTTCTCTGTCATCTAACCTACATTGGCAGGCAGGTTCTTTACTACTAGCGCCACCTGGGAAGCCCAGCAGACTTTTTATGAGGCCCCCAAAAATTTGCTTAAATGGTTTATTCTTCATTTAACTGCTGTGAAGTGGACTCAGGCTTCAAGTCTGAAACTTTCTCTTGACTCAGTTTCATTAAGGAGGCAGGGAGGTAAGACACAACTCCTCAGGCTGCCAAGGGGCAAGTGTGACTGACTCGGTCTGGGGCATCACAAACCTGCTGAGGTGTGGCCCCCCAGGTCCCTCCTCCAGACTCACACGCTCACATACACGCACACACGAGGGCAACCACGGGAAGACTTCAGTCAGAGTCGTGTGTGGGATCAAGTCACAGATCAAGTCACACAAGTCTCCAGCCGTGTGATCTGGGAGAGGTCAAAACATTTTGGGCCTTATTTTCCTCCTCTCTAACATGAGGTTAAAAAAAAAAATTTTACGTGACTTTTTTGTAAGGATTAGAAGATTAAATGGAAAACAGAGTGTAAAATCCTTTCAGGCCAATTGAGGGTTATACAATTGCTGCTTTAATTCACTTGCCATTTCATTTTCCAGCCTGCAGAAAGTCCTTGTTAACTAAGTAAATGGTCAATTTTCCACAACAGGAATACAAGTCAGCCGTGAAGTCACCAGCGTCTCTTGGGTCCCAGTTTCTGGTCAGTAGCACCAGATCCAGAGAGGCCAAACTAAAATATTGTTTTCCTTCACAAAGTCGTTTAATCTCTCATCTCAAGATACGTCAATCCTGAAAATGGACTGAAGGGTTTTAAATGAAGGAGAGGAAGCTTTGCTCAGAATTATCTAATGAAAAAGGGGGAGGAAGTAGGCAAAAGCACACTGACTTTTTTCTTCTTTTATTTATAAAGAACACGATTCCTCCCCCTAACACAGACATAAACACTCACACATTCCAAGGAGGAGCTTATAAAAACAACAACAGAACCAGGGCACTCGGGACCTTATTTAACACCAGTCCGTTTGCCCGACTGGGGGACGACTGGGAATGTTTCCTCAGATGTGACCTCTCACACCTCAAAGAAAGGAGACCTTGACCTGAGGGGCCCACCTACCCACCCGCCAGGCAAACGTGACACCCTCAGTCTTCTGCATCATCAAACTGTCCCGTTTCAAAGACCATCTTGGAATAATGGGGTATCAGTGGAGGCGGATGGTGCCAACTGGGGTCATAGATCATGTCTCCTTGCGGGGCACAGCACACCCAGGGTCTGACCTCTTGAGAAAGGCAACCTTGGATGTCATCAGCATCTGCAGGCAGTTTTAAAAGACAGATTAAAAGGAAGGAGGGAGTGTGACAAGAGAGACCCAAAAATATCTAGGGGACAGACACTTGCACGTCTTTGCTTAAACATATGCACAGGCGGGCACACACACATGCATACATCTTCCGTTGCTGGAAAATCCCAAGCACCTTCATTCTAAGGCCACCCACAGTCCCGCTTCTCTGACACAGGTTTTTAGCAGCGCAGAGAAAGCAACGAGAGCACTTCTGTCTGCGGCTGCTCCATTCATACAAAGATATTTGGAGAGAGTAACATTGTTTCAACATTCAAACAGACCCATACTGTTATAAAATAAAATGCAAAACTGGCACTTCCCCCACCCACCCCCACCTCCAATATGAAAGAGGAGCTGTCACAGAAATTTCAGACCTGTAAGAGCTATCAGGCAAAACTAATAGATGTGGCTCCCTCTTCCAAACTGTTTAGGGGTTAATCTGGTAGGAGGGTCTCAGGAGCCTGGCCTGTGTGTGCTCAGTTGCGTCTCTTTGTGACCCCATAGACTACATGTAGCCTGCCCGGATCCTCTGTCCATGGGACTTTCCTGGCAAGAATACTGGAATGGGTTGCCATCTCCTATTCCAGGGGATCTTCCCAAACCAGGGATCAAACCCTCATCTCTTGCATCTCCCGCACTGGCAGGCAGACTCTTTCCAACTGCACTAGAGCCTGGCCTAGGACCCCAGAAACCCCGCACCTACCATATGGATTCCCCTGATCTGCTTTCAACTCCAGGTCCCAATCCTCGTGAAAAAGATCACCAGCCTGTTCCTTGGGTAGACAGCCGGACATCCCTTCTGACAGCTCCCGGGGACTTGGTTCCCCATCAGAATCCTCGTCATCTTCAGCAAAGCCTTCCTCTTCACAATGGGCACCCTCACCATGAGCAGGACTATCGTGAGGGATGCTCTGTGCTCCGTTGGCTAAGAAATGGACAAAAGGAAGAACAGCTTAAAACAACCTGGTCATGTTCTGCTAGGAAGATGTTCAGCAAACTTCCGGAGAGGGCAACAGTCACAAGCGGGCAGGGCCTCTTAGCCACCAGAGCACTTATTTAAAAACTGTTGTTCTGCTCCCAGTTTTACAAGTAGGGTTGATAATTTATTTTCAATAAGATGTTGTGTCTTAAACGAGGCCATTCATTACCAGGTCTTTTCACTCACATGAGGAAATCAGGCACAGTGTGTATTTTCAGGTGGTTTAAATGACACGGAGGGAAAGGGCTTCTGGCAATAATAAGCTTTCACAGTACAGACTTCCTTGGTGGCTCCCAAGCGCCACCCCAGGCTCTGCTGCCTACTTGCCTAGTCGATCTGTGGTGGTCTCAGTCGCTCTCTCCTGATTGGAGTGGTCAGCTGGGGCAAAGGCAGGCTGCGGGAAGAAGAAACAAGGACCCAGGACTTGGTATCTCGGGAATGGCCAGTATTTCAGCCCCATATCCACCCTTTCAGACCCTCCTTTGCAACGCTGGGGTGGGACCCTGCAACCCACATTTCTACTGTGCCCTGTTACACTGGGACTTGCTGCTTCCCATTCCTGTGGGCATCACCCCTGCCGGCAGGATCACCTGCCTTCACTGAGTGCCTACTGAATCCAGTGTACAGTCTGCCAGCACATACAGAGCCAGTCTCCTCGCTGGGCCTTATCTTTTTTTTATTTTTTAATATTTATTTGGCTGTACCATCTCTTAGTTGCAGCACTCGGGATCTTTAATTTTGGCATGTGAACTCTTTGCTGCAGCATGTGGGATCTAGTTCCCTGACCAGGGATCAAACCTAGGCTGCCTGTATTGAAGCACAGAGTCTTCACCACTGAACCACCAAGGAAGTCCCTCACCGGGCCCTCTCTTGATTGGTCTGGGCCCTCAGGACTCCTCCTCCAAGCTCAGAGACTCCAACTAGCCAGGACAGGACAGTACCCCCTCCTCAGAGGCTGGGATTTCAGATCCCTGAAATTCTCCTCTGAGCTTGTACATTTTAGTCATTCTAATCTCACCCCTTTGTTCCCTCAGAGCAGTGGATACCACCGTGTTCATCTTTACCTTTACTTTTTATCTAGCTAATAGCTCTTTTATCAAATTTCACCTCCTGACTAACACATGAGGACAAAAGAGCTTTAGTTGTTGAAGGGAAATCGGCAGTTGTTGATGGGAAACCGTCTTCCTTCATAGCCATCGCTAGGTTTCTCTGCTCCCATCGCTCAAAAGTTCTGAAATCCTGGGACTTCCCTGGCGATCCAGTGGCTAAGACTCCATGCTTCCAATGCAGGGGGCATGGGTTCAATGCCTGGTCGGGGAACTGAGATCCCACATCTGGGCAGTATGGCCAAAAACAAAAAAGAAAGAGTTCCTGAAATCCTATCACCTGTGAAGACCTCTAAGTGAGGTGAGAAATGTTCACAGACTGCATGAGAAGACCTGACTTCAATCCCATACACTCAATCCCAGATGTACCTGGGACACCATTTCAGCCACTGTGTCTGGATTTCCATCTCTGGAAGTTGGGGATGATTGTTCTAACCTGGCAGGAGGTTTATAATGAGATTACACTGATGAAGACACCCAGCACACAGCAGGAATATAACATTTATTGAGCTGAAATCCACCTTCTTTGCCCGTACATTTAAACTGTGCTTGGCACCTGCCCCAGTTAATCACAATCTAGTCCAACCTGGATTTAATGAGCTAATTCCAACTCCAGTAGTCAGTGACAACTCCCGGTCACTCCTGCTGACCAATAGTGGGACCTCTCACCTCTTCTATTGCTAGAGCTCCCTAACTGCCTTCCCACTCACCCACTTTTTCTTTTTTAATTTGGCTGCACCAGGTATTAATTGCAGCATATGGGAGCCCCCACCAACGTCCCCTGCATTGGGAGCACAGAGTCTTAGCCCCTGGACCACCAGGGTCCCACACTCACCCATCTGACTGCAGCCTCACACTGGAAATCACCACTCTGCCCAGAAACCTCAACAGGCCTCCACTGCTGGAGCACAAAATTCGCCATGGCATCCACAACGCCCCTTAAGGCTCTATCAACGTGTGCAGCACAGTTATCTCTCCAAGCTCCCAGCCATTTGCCCTGCACATCCTCACCTCCCTGCCTCTGCTAGGACCACCATCCTCTCATCTTGGAGAGGAAGTGCAGGAACCTTCCTGCTGTGGCCTGACAAAATCAGTCTCATCCTACCTGCCCGCTAAAGTAATTTTCTTTATAAGCCTACCACTACGTTTTTCCTATCTTATTTTGGTTAGGATGTCTCTGATGCTTAGACAAGCATTCCTCTTCCATCCAGTTAATAAATATGCGTGTCTAAGGTGCCAGGCACTACGCTACGCACCGGGTTTACAGCACTAAATAGAGCGTTCCTACCCTCAAAAGCTCACCGTCTAAAAGGGATTACTGAACAAGGGCAGGACATGACTGTAACAGCGGTCTTTGAGAAACCGGGAGCGGTCTGGCGCGGAAAAGAAAACAAGTTTCTAGAAAGCCTGCGTCAAACGCGGCCTTTTGGTTTCAGTGAAAAGGAGCGCGCGCAGGAGACATCATCCGGTGCTCTGGCTTAGCTGAGCATCCCCACCATGGGACACGGATCCTTCCGGGAAAGTCGCTTTCCTCGCCACCCTCACCCGGCCCCAGCCCGGGCCCCCCAGCAGCAGTCCCAGCTGTCGGTCAGCAGCATCACCTCCCATTTGGCAAGGACGCAAAGGCGCCCTGGAGCCAACAGCCAGCCCTCCCAGCCCGGTGAGCCCACCCACGTCCTCGAGGTTGCCCCGCCCCGCAGTCCCGCGGCCCGGCTGTTTCCAGATCGGGCGCGCGCCTAAACGGCCGGGCTGCCCGAAGCGAGCCGGGAGCGCTTCCCCGGTTTCCTGGCCCCGGCCCCGCGAGCCCCCACAACTTCCCGCCGCCGGCCGCAGGTGGTGGCCGCGCCCAGGCCCCTCGCCGCGCTCACCTCCGGGCTCGGGGGCACCTCCCGCCCGCTCGGCAGCTGCAGACCCCGCGGCTGCTCCGCGGCCCTCAGCGCCTGGGCCCCGGCGGTCGGAGGGTCCATGCCTGTCTGCCCGCGGCTCGGCGCCCAGGATGCCGCTCGGCCACGTGATGCGCCGGCCTGGCTGCCAGCCCGAGGATACGCCGTTGAGGGCCAATCAGCCGGGGGTGCTCTCGGCCCGGGGGCGGGGCGCGGGGGTCAAGAGGGAACCAGGGGCGGGGCAGCGGACGGGGCGGAGTAAGGGGCGGGGCGTGCCCGCCTCCGAAAGCCCAGTCTACCCAACCGTCCCGAAATCTGATTTTTGTAGCCACTGGCGATGCAGATCCGAAGGCTAAACGATTAGCTGGGTCTGGAACGCCCGAGTGTTACCCCCACCCAATCACAATGGACATGCTTTCCTTCAAAACCTGTTAGAACAGTCAATTTACCCGCGTCTACCTAATAGTGCGTAAAATAGTGGGTAAGAGCTTAAAGACTTTACAGGCAATTGTAGCTTTAATCCCATTTTCTTTTCTCTATTAACAGGTTTCTCTAGAACTTGGGCTGGTATCAGGCTACAACCCTCCCACAAATGGATGAGACAACTCAGGAGCCCGGTGATTCTCACCCTGAGCTGACAGGTCTTCGCGTTAACCCATTTAGAAACCAAGCCAGGTTGATCAAAACTCCTAAGATTTCAGACACCCTTATAGGCTACGACACTCGGTCACAGTAACCCTAAACATCCTGCACTGCGCCCATAGTCTCACCTAGGCGCCTACGTTTCAGTGCTCCAAGCCCGGCCCTCTCCAGCCGAGGGCAGCCCAAGTTAGGCAACACCCGAGCTGGGCAACACCAAACTCTACAGGCAGCCCTTGCTGCCTTTCCTTCCCTGCGCTGCCTGAACCTCGGTAACACATCTGCTCAAGGTGTGATGATCACCTTAACCTGTATGTAGCAGAAAAGCTGAAAGCTGGGATTCTTTGTTCATCACGCCATTTTATGACAATCTGAGATTACACTATTCCTCTAAATCTCTCCAAGAATGTTGTCTATACATTACATAAGGCATTTGAAAAATAGCCCAACAGTTGATAGGTAACATTTTTTTCTCTATGCAGGCTTTCCTACAAGTGTCTGTGACCATTTGTCTTCTGCTCTGACCCATGAGTCAGTTTTCCCAGATCTAACTGGATCTAAGTCAAGTGTCTAGCAGAACCTTATCTGATGGTGGAAATAAAAGTTTTATCTGTGCTGTTCAGGAAACCACGGGGCTGGGTGAGCACTTGAAATGTGTCCAGTGTAAATGGAAGACTGAATTATCTAATTTCAATACATGTAAGTCCCCACATGTGGCTGGAAGCCACCGTATCAGCAGAGCTCAGAGTGAACTTTTCATTTTCTGCGATGGTGGGAACCAGGTACAGGATGTGATGGCCCAGGGTGACCCATCTTCACAGCCACGCTGGAAGGACAACCACAACCCTCTTAACTCTCATCTCTTATGTGCTCTTTCCTAAAATAAAAAAAGCCCATTAAGGATTTAAATGTTGAACTTCCCAAGACTTAGTGGAGAAGACAGAGGTTTCTTATTTTAGAATAAATGACACACAACCAACCACTAGGGTACAAAAGCTAATAAAGGTGTCCTAAAGCAGACTGATACTCATAGAGATTTAACACACAATAAAGGTAAATCAAAATCAGCATTAAGAAAAATGGCCACAAATGGTGGTGTAGAAAATTTAGTTAACTGCTTGGGGTAAACAGAGTTGTCCTCAGCAGGAGATGGGTTTTCAACAATAGAAATCATACACACACATACAAAACCTCTGAACACCAAAACACACACACACACACACACACACACACACACAAAGCTGGGACAAATTATCTGTTAGAAAACACAAGCTAAAGATTACTATTCTAAAAAAAGAAAAAAGAGATTACTATTCTTAGTACATAAGAAACTTACAAATTTGTAAAAAAAAAAAATTTTTTTAAATTAAAAAAATAGTCAAACATGAAAAGAGAACTAGGAAAAACACAGTAACACAGTCTAACATATTAAGATACACTAACATCAAAGAAATGCACATTAAAAAAAAAAAAGAATATATCACTTTTCACTTATCAAAATGGTAAAAAATATATAAAATACCCATAATGCTTGGAAGTATTTTCATACATTGCAAACTGGCAATACTTAGCAATACTCTTTATTTTATATTCTTTAACACAGAAATTCTGTCAGATGTCAGTCTTCCAAAGAAATAACCAGCGATGTGAACAAGATTTTTAAGAATCTTCACCAACAGCACTTTTAAGAAAAAATGGCACACGGTCCAACCACAAGCGATTAATAAGTCATGACTCATCTATACAATGGAATGCTATGGATTTATTTCACGCTTTCAAGGCTATTTAATAACATGGAAAACAACATAATACTAAGTGAAACAGTGTTAAGTCAAACTGTACTGAATGCTTCTCCCAGTGACATCATGTTACGTTGAAGGATATACAACTCAAACCACCACTTCCTCTGCTCCAAGAATGCCCGTCTCTGCTCTAAGTCACCCTCCATCCTTGCCTCTGGAGCCTCTCTTTCTAGCTACTCCCTACCTCTGCCTTTCCTTGTTACTGGGTCTCTCCAGTGTAATTATTTCTCTCCAGATCAGTCCCAGAGACAAAAACACTTTTGTAATTTCTTAAAATCTTCTCAAAGAACAACTTTTTCCCTAATACCTAGCATCCTCTTCTGCTGCTTCAACCAACTCAGGACATCAGCTCTGTTCCTTTCATCCCCACTTCCATCCCAAAAGCTTGTCTTCTTTCTTGCCCATGACAGGGATTCAACGAATGAATGAATAAATGACCTAACAGTATAAATCCAATTCTAACAAAGGAAATCATACCAGTGAGTTTAAGTCCAGATGACAAGATTACAACATTACTTTGTTCCCTCCGTACTTTTACAATAAATGCATACCACATATACTTCTATAAGGAGAAAACAGAACTGTATTTTCATCCCCATTTTAACTGAACAGAGGTCTAGATTAGAGCTACTCAAGCGTGACCAAGTGTAGTAAAAGATCAGTTACATCGTTTCCATGTATTCTGAAAAACATTTAGGACCTACATAGTCTGGCCTCAACAACTGGCTTCTGGCCATTAAACAGCAGCTCTCTTTTCTGGAATTCAAGATTAACACATCAACAAAATTAAAGCAGGCCTCAAAATGAGACGGCATCTCAGCAAACTGCAGATGACTGCATAAAACAAATGTGCCCAGAGGGCTTATAGCACCATTTCACAAAGGTGACTGTGCTCTTCCTCTTTTCACAAACGGCCGGCTTGATGCAGAGCATGTTTAGACATAAACTGCTCTACTGACTCTCCCTGCAACATTTTCATGGCTCGCCAATAGAGCTGTCCGCAGTTCTCAGGTCTACCAAGTGGGTGGTTCAATTCTTCTTTGATGTAATCAATCCAGAGATCTTTAAAGGGAATCCAAACATACAATGAGATAACTGACAAGGCTTTATTAGGTCAACTTAATTATTTAATATCAATTCAACGCAAGATTTCTAAGAAACAACTCTGTGCAGTTATTTTCCTAGAAAACTATGTGAAATAATACCTCTCTCAGCTTCTTACTTTAGAAAGGAGTGGCTTCTAGGTAAAATAATACCTCTCTCCCTTCTTTCTTTGGAAGGGAATGCCTACCCACTCCAGCATCCTGGCCTGGAGAATCCCATGGACTATTCCATGGGGTTGAAAAGAGTAGGACAGGACTGAGCAACTTTCACTTTCAGCTTCTTAAGTACAAAACATCAAAACCTTTTGTTTAAGTAGAAAACTTCACTTTAATCATGACAGTCTACTTATCTTGTAAACTCAAAAATGCTAAGTATTTTAGAGGGAGGATTTTGCTGAGTCTCTTTCAAGGTTCAACTTACCTCAATGAGTTTATTAGAACCTTGTCACCATGCTTAATAAAACCTGCTTAACGTTAGTAAAAATGCTGTTTTCATTCATTTCACCAGAAGGCATGCTGAAACCTTGTAAAACCTAATGTATGATTTAAAATCTGAGTTTAACATCTGTAAGTGTAATTTTTTAAGTTCCTAAATCAACAGACTTTACATGACATACTTATACCTAGAAATAGGTTTTACAAGTTCTTTAAGTTAAGACAATGTGGCAATAGCCCATGACAACCTTTGTCAATTATTATCACCACTCCTCTGACATATTACCCACTCCATTTTGTTCTGACGTACCTTAATCTTTTCCTTACAAATACCACATTTTTTAAAAGAACCAAACCAAGCAAATCTCCCTCTAATCCAGAGTTCTTAATAAAAGACCCATGGACTTTGTTCTGGGCTTGTAAACTTGAAATCAGCAGTAAAATTATGTCTGCAACTATTTACATACAAAGTAAGGGAGGAGGCAGAGGAAGGATGCTAAGTTTTATTCTCAAGGAGGGCCGTGACCCAAAAATAGTTAAGAAATACGATCCTAAGCATAATGATAGGTTACAGACCACACATGAAAACAGGCTTGTGTGTCAATAAGTGAAGTTTACTTACCAGAATCAACAGTTCCAAATTCTCTCAAAGCCCTCTCATAATACTCTCTTAAGTTTTCCATCTTACAGGATTCCTATAAATAATCAGACAATCTTGCCTCAAAAGTCTAATTTGTAATGTCACAAATTCATTCCACACATATTGTTACTACTATTAGGTATTTGAAGGGGAGGAAAGATGGGTTTAAATGAACACAGTCTGACTCTGAACTTATCCAGAGAAAAGTCAAATGCACTATGTGGCAGAGAGAAATAAATGTCAAACAGTGACAAAAGCCCTTTGCTCTGTTGGCTTGCAAAAAGCCTAATCAATTCTCACTTGAGGGAACAACGGCAGCTCCACAGGAAAATATATGTGAAACCCTACAGGACTTAAATAAATAAATGGGGAAGGTTCTATTTCCTATGGTGAGGGACTTCTTCCTTGAATATATGGGCTCTAGCACATACTAGCCATACTCACCTTAAAAAATTGTTTCTATCAAGGCACAGTATATAAATACTAGTTACATGAACTTTAGCAGGTTTTTTGAACCCTCTGACCTTCAAGTTTCCTCACCCATAAAATGAGGATAACAGTATCTCTTAGAGCAACTATAAGGATTCAGTTAAAATACTGATGAATTATTCACCAAGCAGAGCATCCACTACGGTGTGTGTGTCTGTGTGGCGGGGCGAGGGCAGTGCAGCACCGCGCAGCCTCTGGGATTTCAGTTTCCTGACCAGGGATTGAACCTGAGCCTCAGCATTAAAAGCCCAGAGTCCCAGTCACTGAACCGCCAGGGAGCAGCTCCCTGCCAGTACTACCTTTACAACCAACAAATGTTAATTCTTCACCTCTGCTTTGTTTCCTCTGTTTCATTTTCAAAGCAGATAAACATCTTGGTTTAAAAATCTTTTTATGTAATCAAATAAGTACGTCCTCATTCCAATTTCTCTGCTGAGACTGTACTATCTTACAGAAAGCCAGTTTACTTCGTGTCTTACACACATATGAAAGACAGAATCACACTTTAGGAAGGGCTCATAGTAAATGTGTAACAACGCAAAGTCCTTTCCATCCAGTCTTCCATCAGATCTTATATATCCCCCTGAAACAGATATTATGACCTCCTCTACAGGTGAGTATGTCAAAGGTTAAAATTAAATGACTTGTCCAAGGTACATGACCACTGTGTTATTAATCCAAAGTCAGGCTATGAATTATTATGCTAGATTATCTCCTATAAAAACAAATCACTGACCCACATAGGGGTCAAAACCTTAAGAGTTCAACCTCATTATCAATTTTTAAAAATTCAAAGAAAAATAATAAACACAAATCAAAATACCAAAGAGAAAACAAAACTGAACACATGGAGAAGATATGGAGAAAACAAGTATAATGATATACGTATATATGCAGCGATGATCACCGTAAGTATAACTTTTAGAAAACTATCTGGCAATATGTAAATAAAGAACCATTAAAAAAAAAGCCAGTATTCTCCAATCCTAGAAATTTATCTCAAGAAAGTAATTCAAATGGGGGAAAAAAAAAATCTATACAAATAAAATGCTTGCAGCACTGTTTTCAATACCAAAAATCTGGGAACATCCTATACATAATAGGATGGTTAAGAAAACTTGCAGGTTTAGTAAGACAACCATTCAAATGATACCATATGAAAACACAGGAATATGTTTACAAAATAATGTTAAGGAAAAAAAGAAAAACTCCACGTATCACATCAGAAGTAAAACAGTACAAAACTGCATAGGTAAATAAAGGATTAAAAAAATAACAAAAATAAAAATAAATATGGTTGGCTGTGTTACTGGTGATGGGAATACAGATATATTTGGACTTTTTTTTTTTTTAACTGACATTTTCCTCTGTTTTTCCTCATTCACAAGTTCAGTTAAAAACACAAGCCACAGTTATAAGTGCCTTCTCTCTACCGCACAGCCCAGAAGACGAGACAACCAGGGCACTGTGGAGACAGGGGGTAGCTTGCTATATGAGCTGATGTGTGAGTTGCCTAGTTTCCAGACAGGTTTCTCTTCCTCTTTGCTTGACTACCATTCCTAAAATCACATCTATGGAAAAGGGGCTTAGAAGAAGAGACCAGAAATTATACTGCATTATGACGACAGGTTCTTAAACAACAAAATGCTGCCATAGATTAGTATGTGCTAATCCATTTTCCCAACAAGAAATGCAGACAGGACACTTACTTGCTCCTTCTCAAACTCAATCATCTTCCTGAAAAAATCAACTGAAAATGGACGGTTTTCCTGTAAACTAAAGAGGAAGGGGGGAAATGTTATCTTCCACAGAGACAGAAAGCCTCTTACAAACCATGAATGTAAACACTGGGCCAGGGCCCCCACCACCCATGGTCTGATAAAGCTCTGGCTGCGATTCAGTGCGGGGACTGGACCTGACCACCAGTCACTCACCATCTCCAGTCCCAGTGCCTCAACGCCTCACAACCACCAACCCCCTACCCACTTTTCTTTCTGTTCTCTTCTTTCTCACTTTTAGGGTTTTAAGTTCCCTCTCCTTCATCTCAAGGTCTTTTTGAAGGAAACCAATAAGCCCATTTCTAAGAAAATATTCTGAGAAAATAATTTCCAAAATGGACAAAGAATATTTGTGCAGTAGGGTTCATCAAAGCAGTTACTGTGGCCAAATAAATTATGGCATATCCATGTTATTTTTAATAAATGTTAAAGAACTGTTACTGACAGGAAAAAGGCAAGTCTAAGGTTCATCAATAAAAGTGGTACACTGCATGCGATTATAGTATAATCTCAGCTATGTGAAAAACCAACTTAACAGAAGAATTATTTTTAATATTTGTTTGGCTGACCATGTGGGATCTTTCACTTTGGCATATGGACTCTAGTTGTGGTGCAAGGGCTCAGTAGTTGCAGTGGGCGGGCTTAGCTGCTGTGCATGTCTTTCCCCAACCAGGGATCAAACCCATATTCCCTCCATTGCAAGGGACTACCAGAAAAGTCCCTTTAATTTTTATTGGGGTGAAAGACAAATTTTAAAAAGATTATTAAAATGCTTTTTCTCTTGATGATGGGATTATAATGAATTATTCGCTACCTACCTCCTTCTTTCTCTTTTTAAAAAAATTTTTCAGTGGGCATGAACCAAAAGGCTCTTAAGATTTATTCCTCACATATAATCTGGGTACCAAGGGCTGGGTATAGGGTGGAGAGACAAGCAACAGCTGCACGTGTCTGTAGGTACCTTTTAAATACATCTCTGGCCTTTTTGTAACCACCACTTCGATAAGCCCAAGCCAGGTACATTTCCTTCATAGTGGCTGAGTCATCTCCTGAGAGACGAAAGACAGCTCTCTAAAAGAAAAAAGAAACAAGCCACATAAGGAGACATCTAGGTATCAAGACAAATTTCCCAAAACCATCCCAGAGCACTGAATGAACAGTGCTTTAGGAAAAAACCCTTCGAAAGCTAGCCAACTAGTATTATTTGCTCATTACCCACACTTAAGACTTACGAGAAGGGGCCTGTACCTTATAGATCATTTCAGCTTCTTCTTGCTTTCCGATCTCTTCACTACACTGTGCCCAAGTAAGCCACAAGGGAAGACAAATCTGCTCACAATACAACAGTTAGAAAATGACAGCTTAGTGCCATGCTCTGAAAACTAGTCACGATAAAGTTATGTTCCCCCGAAATAATATGTGAAATATGAAGTCATTCCCAGTCTGTCCTCATGGAACCCTTGGTGCCTGGCAGGAATGGTATGCCAAAACCGACAGCCTTTGGACTCAGTCACCCAAAGTAACACTATTCTGTTAATCCTACTTCCCCTCTCCTGGGGACTACTGCCTAAAGTGACTATTATCAATGATCTGTTAGTTAAGCACTCAACAACCCACAATCGCACCCAAGCTATCCAGGTCATTGTGTACGATCTGGAGTCTGCTGTGCAGGATCACAACGCAAGTGCCAACTAATCCAGGCTGAACTGCCTGGACTTCACTCATGTCCCAGCAGCTCACACAGATAAGCAATAAAGTAATTATGATTTCTCCCCACTTTAACCCCTAGAATGCTTTTCTCCTACTAGTATGAGATTCACCATGAAGCTTTAAAGCTTATTCTTTTAAACTTAAAAATTTTTTTCAATTTTAAAATAAACTTTATAGAGTTTAGAAATATATGTGTTTAAAATGAGACTTAAGTTCAGCTTTGGAAGCATGTGAAAATAATATTCTATTAATATTTTTCACTTATCAGATATCGAAGTAGAAAAGTTTACATAGTTTAGTCTATTTTCAAATAAGACGTAGAAACATGCTAGTAAATAAGTTATTCTTCCACCCATGATCCTTCAACCATCACCATGAATGCACTCTGAGGACAGCTCTCCTCTGACAAGTCTACTCCAAATGCACTTTGGCTGAAGTCTTAAAAGTTTTCCCAAATAGAACGAAATGCAAAAGACCCAACTCACAGACCTGGGGTTTCAGGTACTCAAAGGCTTGGTTAAAAACCTTGGTCATCTCCTGGCTCTCTGATGAAATCAGGGCCTCCAGCTTCACCTGCCACATCTCCACTGATTTTCTGAACAATTCCACCCCAGCGTCTGCCACCTCCAGGGATTCCTTAAGCAACTGTCGGTACAGCAACAACTTGCTCTGCAGAAAACAAAGGGTCATCCAAGAGTCACTGCTGAGATCTACGTTATCTAATTGGAATTTCGCCTCCACTCCTGTTCCTATCCCCAAAGATTATCGAAAAAACAGAAAAGAGCCAAAAAGCAAAGGACCTAAATAATTTAGATTGAAAGCTAAATTGTTAATAACATAGTTCACTGCAATAAAACCCACACCCACCAAACAGAATATAAAAATCAGTAAAGATAAAACTATTATGTGTTGTGGTAAAGAACTCATTCAATCAAACAAGAGCCTGGAATACTACAAACTGGTACCATTTCTCTGAAGAGTCATAAGCATGTTCATGCATAAACTTGTGGAGTCTTACTTTAGCAAGTATGACCCAAGAAATAAATGAACAGGAGGAAATCTTATCTGTTCAAAAATGCTTGTGTCCACACTACTGTAACAGGGACAGAAAAATCTAAAACCAATCATTATAAAATTGTGAAGCAGTAAGTAAACGGCCATATGTAATCCATTCAACAAGCATGTAACTGCACACTGTGTATTATTACTGAATCTTCAATAATGAGGAGGTAAGGTGTGTTCCCTAACGCCCACAGCGCCTCTAGTCTAGCACCAGAGACAATGTGATATGTATGATCACAGAAAAAGAATCATACGCTACAGGAGTACAAAGCACTGTCTTTGGCAGTGATCAGAAAGTGATCAGAAAGTCCCATCTAGCCGAGACTTTAGGAAGATCAGGCATTATTCAGGTGAAAGCAGAGATTGCCAAGAAAAGAGAAGACTCTCCCACCGACATGAGCAAGAGGCTAAAGATGACAGAAACTTTGGATCCAAAAGGAAATCGAATGGAATTTAGAAAGATGGTAACGATAACCCTATATGCAAAACAGAAAAAGAGACTCAGATGGATAGAACAGGCTTGTGGACTCTGTGGGAGAAGGCGAGGGTGGGATGTTTCAAGAGAACAGCATCGAAACATGTATATTATCTAGGATGAAACAGATCACCAGCCCAGGTTGGGTGCATGAGACAAGTGCTCGGGCCTGGTGCACTGGGAAGACCCAGAGGGATCGGGTGGAGAGGGAGGGGGGAGGGGGGACCGGGATGGGGAATACATGTAAATCCATGGCTAATTCATCTCAATGTATGACAAAAACCACTGCAATGATGTAAAGTAATTAGCCTCCAACTAATAAAAATAAATGGAAAAAAAAAAAAAAGGAAATCGAAGCACAGGACGACTGGAGGGATTGGAAATTCCTTGGGGGCCAAATTAAGGAGACTGAGCAGCTTTATCCAAAGGACAATGGGAAGCCACAGGATAACCTGATAATCGATTTTAAAAGATCATTCTGTGGAGAATAATCTGGAGAAAGGACGGGTGTACAATCAGCCAAGCATTTGAAGTTAAGAGGCAGTGCAGTGAAGGACTCCCACAAAAGGCAAGGTCACTAGATCAGTGACAAGCAGGGAGGTCTGGAAGGGTTACTGCCAGAAATGTAAAGAGGACATGATGTCTGAAATGGCCAGAGCAGGCGTGCCCTGGTGGTCCAGTGGTTAAGACTCCATGCCCCCAATGCAGGGGATACAGGGTCAATCCCGGGTTGGGGAAGTAAGATGCCACATGAAACACAGTGCAGCCAAAACTTAAAAATAAATAAATACATAAAAATAAAAATGAAATGGTTAGAGTTATGACTGGCAAAAGAAACCAATAAAGGAACGTGAACAGGACTACCAGGGCACTCCGAGACACATCCAGCTGAACGAGTGACTGTCTTGCCAGTACTCAGTAACAGCTCAGACATGGCGCTGAGCTCATCCAGACAGGGGGTTTTTCACAGCTAAGATGCTGCAACAGATGAAGGGCAACCCACTCGTGGTGTAACACGATACACTACTAACATGCTGCTTATGCAGATCCACGTAAAAAGTACAGAAAAAATATTAACACAAAAACAGAATCCAAAATAGCAAAACATCAATGGCAGTTATGTAAAAACTCTATATATTATATAAATAAAAAGAACTGTACAAATAAAAGGTACTCAATAAATACAGATTTTTGTCTTTTCTTCCCCTACAAAAGTATTTAAATACATTAACATTCACAATCTCATGTAATGCTCCCAACAGTTTCACGAGGTGGCAAAAACAAGGATCACTATCACTCTAAAATCAAGTCAACAATCTCAGAAGGGTTAAGGAGTCTGCCCATTACATGGCAAAATCCAGTCTAGACCTGTGCATTCCCACACTACTATTAATAATAATAACCCCACTATTATTCTGGTCTCTATTAATCTTTACCCACTTCAGAACATAAGGATGGGTTAATACGCTTCTTACTAAAATTCCTTTAAAACACTAGAACTTATCTGTCTTTACTGTACAAACGGTTACTCTGAGCTAAGCATAGGTTCAGGAAAACATGGACAGACAGACAGACAAAATACACCCAAGTATGACTCTTGAGTGTTTCCCACTATGCACTAAATGACACTCCTCCTTCTACTGGTACAGATTTCATTTCTGGCCCATACCAAATACTGACAGCCAAATACTAAACTCTACATCTACCATGCCAATCTTCCAAATGAGCTTAGTTATAAAACCATATATATTAAAAAACACGTTACGAGCATAAGCCAACCACAATGAAGTACATGTAATTGGCATGAATGTGTCCTTACCAACTGCCTGTACTGGAGTTCTGGTAAAAGTTTCAGCTCATGTGCCTTCCAGAATGTAGCCATGGTTCTTTCCAGCCTCTGAAATCAAAAAAATCTTTTCTGTTCATTACAAAGATCCGAGCAGGGGCCTTTGGCCTCTGCCAGGAACAGACGCAGTTTTACTTCTGAGAATTCAGAGAAGGGACTGAGGTGGTTTCACTTACGACTCCCGGATTTGGGCAGCTGCACCAGGCACAGCCCAGTAAGAGCGCCCCCACCATGGCGGCCAGAACTAGAGCAAGCAGCTGACTCAGACCTTTCAGGTCAGGAAAAAGTGCGTAGGCATGACCTTCTTGGAAACGCCAGACCCCAAGAAGCTGTGCCCATGTTCTTTCAGAAAACACTTTCCGCAACTTCCCTGGTGGTCCAGTGGGTAAGACTCTGTGCTTCCAATGCAAGACGCATGGGTTAAGATCCCCACGTGCCACAAAGCCCTTCACACCCCGCCAAAAAAAAAGTGTGTGTGTGCATATGTATGAAAAAAAGAAGACATTGTCTACTCAGCCACTTTAACCACTTAAAAGTCAATACCTTCTTTCTGAGGAGGCGACTGCTTGTCTTCTTAGTAAATCTCTCCATGCAGAAGTTCATGTAACACTTCCACATAGCCTCTGAAAAAGTCAAAGCTTATGTTAATCAGACCACCACCCATTATTTTAGTCTAACAGTCCTCACATCTTCTCAGGAAAAATTCCTGAGGAAGAGTTTGAAGTGGAAAAAAAATAAATTATTCTGATTACAGTCTATCAAATACCTCAAATATTGAGGGCAAAACAACTGAGAAATGGCAGAAATATAAACATTAAAAGCCTTAAAAAAAAAAAAGCCTATCCATGTCAGGTACCCGCTACTCTTCCCAATATTACAAAATTGTGAAGTAAATATGTAACAGGAAATAATCAAGGAATGATGACTAAGCACTCTGCTGAAATATCATTTCCTCAGTATAATTTCGGCTTCCCTGATAGATCAGTTGGTAAAGAATCTGCCTGCAATGCAGGAGATCCTGGTTCGATTCCAGGGTCAGGAAGATCTGCCGGAGAAGGGATAGGCTACCCACTCCAGTATTCTTGGGGTCCCTGTGGCTCAGCTGGGAAAGAATCCACCTGCAATGCGGGAGACCTGCGTTCAATCCCTGGGTTGGGAAGATCCCCTGCAGAAGGGAACAGATACCCATTCCAGTATTTTGGCCTGGAGAATTCCATGGACTGTATAGTCCATGGGGCCACTTTAACTGTGTGGATCACAACGAACTATGGAAAATTCTTCAAGAGATGGGAATATGAGACCACCTGACCTGCCTCCTGAGAAATCTGTATGCAAGTCAAGAAGCAACAGTCAGAACTGGCCATGGAACAATATGGTTCCAAATCAGGAGTACATCAAGGCTGTATATTGTCACCCTGCTTATTTAACTTATACGCAAACTATGCGAAATGTCTGGCTGGATGAAGCACAAGTTGGACTCAAGATTGCAAGAAGAAATATCAATAACCTCAGATAAACAGAGGAAAACAACAAAATTGGCAAAGACAAGAGAACTCTTCAAGAAAATTAGAGATACCAAGGGAACATTTCATGCAAAGATGGGCTCAATAAAGGACAGAAATGGTATGGACCTAACAGAAACAGAAGGTACTAAAAAGAGGTGGCAAGAATACACTGAAAATCTATACCAAAAAAGATCTTCATGATCCAGATAACCACAATGGTGTGATCACTCACCTAGAACCAGACATCCTGGAATGCAAAGTCAAGTGGGCCTTAGGAAGCATCACTATGAACAAAGCTAGAGGAGGTGATGAATTCCAGTTGAGCAATTTCGAATCCTAAAAGATGATGCTGTTAAAAGTACTGCACTCAATATGCCAGCAAATTTGGAAAACTCGGCAGTGGCCACAGGACTGGAAAAGGTTAGATTTCATTCCAATTCCAAAGAAAGGCAAAGCCAAAGAATGCTCCAATTACCACACAATTGCACTCATCTCACAGGCTAGCAAAGTAACGCTCAAAATTCTCCAAGCCAGGCTTCGGCAGCATGTGAACCGTGAACTTCCAGATGTTCAAGCTGGATTTAGAAAAGGCAGATAACCAGAGATCAAATTGCCAACTCACTCACCAAAAAGCAAGCAAGTTTGAGAAAAACATCTATTTCTGCTTTATTGACTACGCCAAAGCCTCTGACTGTGGATCACAACAAACTGTGGAAAATTCTTCAAGAGATAGGAATACCAGACCACCTGATCTGCCTCTTGAGAATCTGTATGCAGGTCAAGCAACAGTTAGAACCAGACATGAAACAACAGACTGGTTCCAAGTGGGGAAAGGCATACGTCAAGGCTGTATATTGTCACCCTGCTTATTTAACTCATATGCAGAGTACATCATGAGAAACACTGGGCTGGATGAAGCACAAGCTGGAATCAAGATTGCCGGGAGAAATATCAATAACCGCAGGTACGCAGATGACACCATCCTTATGGCAGAAAGCAAAGAATAACTGAAGAGCCTCTTGATGAAAGTGAAAGAGGAGAGTGAAAAAAGTTGACTTAAAACTCAACATTCAGAAAACTAAGATCATGGCATCTGGTCCCATCACTTCATGGCAAATAGATGAGGAAACAATGAAAACAGTGACAAGACTATTTTCTGGAGCTCCAAAATCACCACAGATGGTGACTGCAGACATGAAATTAGAAGACGCTTCTCCTTGGAAGAAAAGCTATGACCAACCTAGACAGGATATTAAGAAGCAGAGACATTATTTTGCCAACAAAGGTCCATCGAGTCAAAGCAATGGCTTTTCCAGTAGTCACATATAGATGTGAGTGTTAAGACTATTGAAGAAAGCTGAGCACCAAAGTGATGCTCCTGAACTGCGGTGTTAGAGAAGACTCTTAAGAGTCCCTTGGACAGCTGGGAGATCCAACCAGTCCATCCTAAAGGAAATCAGTCCTCAATATTCACTGGAAGGACTGATGCTGAAGCTGAAACTCCAATGCTTTGGCCACCTGATGTGAAGAACCAAGTCAGTGGAAAAGACCCTGATGCTGGGAAAGATTGAAGGCGGGAGGAGACGGGGACAACAGAGGATGAGATGGTTAGATGGCATCACCAACTCGATGGACAGGAGTTTGAGCAAGCTCCAAGAGTTGGTGATGGACAGGGAAGCCTGGCGTGCTGCAGTCCATGGGGTCACAAAGAGTTGGACACGACAGACCAACTGAACTGAAGTATAATTTATTTCCCCAAATAAATGAACAAGTGCCACAGCTCTCGGGGAAGATCATAAAACAGAAAGAAGTGGAAAGCCAGCCAGGCACACTGTAAGCTATCACAGAGGTTCCAGAACTGATTCTGTTCCTGACAATGAAGCTCCAGGTCCCCACTCAGGAACACCATCGCTGCTCGGGGCACAGGGCCTGGGGAGGCTCACCTGTGGGCAGAGTTTTTACCGCCTCCTCGTACACAGCACAGCACCTCTCTTCCCGGCGGCCCACCTCCTTCGCTTTGGCTTGTTTAGTTGTAGGCAGCTCTTCTCCTGGCTGTGATTTAATCACTAATTCTTGCCGGGCCACATAGTCCCAAGTGAGGGGGTCGTCTGTGTGCAGAGCCTTAAGGCTAAAAAATAGTGTTATCAACCTAGGACATGTAACTGATTCAGACTATCAGAACAGAGAGTCCCAATGCTCTGAAAATGTACAGAGGACACTTCTTTATCAATTCCCTCATCACAAGAGTCATTTCCCACAGGCTCTTCAGATGTCTTCACCCTCACTATCAATGGATGAGAATGGTCCATCCATTAACAAGCATCCACACTTGTTAACTGCAGACTGTCTCATTCATAAATATTAGCTTACAAATTAGATGTCAAAGTCAAAGGCAGGTATGTGTGACAAGATTGGTTGTCCTGGTTCTCAAGCCCAGGAGAACCTTCTCATAACCAGGTTCTGGGTTTTCTCTAATAGGAGTCTAATCCTCTACCCAAAACCTAAAGGTATCCACAGAGCAAACAGATCCAAGTTTTATCTTACCTCCTATCAAAGTAAGAGTCCTCCCAAGAGTGAAGGACCCACAAGTTAGGCTGCAAATAATTCTTCAACCATACAACCAGACATTAAAACAATAAAGTCTGATTACCTGTAGCAATGAACTATAAACATTCACTCACTCTCATCTTAAGGACAAAAAACACGTCAGGAAAGCAAGAATAGACTTTTACATAAGCTATAGGATACATTTCTTGCTGAACAAAGATAAACTATTTCCCAAGGAAAGCCAGTAAATGAGTCAAACAACTTCTCCAAAAATACATTTTTCAGGGACTACCCTGGCAGTCCTGTGGTTAAGACTCCATGCTCCGAATGCAGGAGGTCTGGGTTCGATCTTTGGTCAGGGAACTAGATCCCACATGCCACACTAAGGCCTGGTACAGCCAAATAAATAAATATTTTTAAAAAATACATTTATGTACTGTGATATAATAGTCCAAAAACAGCTTTCTCCCCAAGAATTGTATATGGTATCTTCCTTCCCCTTCTCTAAATATCCAACTTAAATCATTACCCTAAGATCAAAACTGACATATTCACCTTTCCACTACTTTACTTACTCATTGTAAATTTCTCTTTGCAGATCTTTGGCAAAGTCGAACTGCTGTGCAATTGAAAGCAGTGACACATGAAATTTTGCACCTAAAATTAAAGCAGGGGAGTGGAGTAAGACTCTAAAGGAGCACTTTCTCCAAGTACTAGCGTTAGTTTTGTTTGTTTTATAAAATGGGAAGTAAGAGAAAATGGGGAAGAAAATAACAGTCCCACTATATAGAGTCTTTGTTAATATCTGAGTATTCATTAAGTACTTTTAACTTTTATTCTAAGTGTCTTAGGGCAAAAAGGAACTTAATTAAATCATTTACTTCTTTTCAACTCCCCACATGATTTAGGTACTCAAAAACTTATCAAAGCATGGTTATAATCCAAGGGGAAATCTGCATTTTCTTAAAGAAACAGGACACTATTTCCTACAATCATGAGTTTTACACATTCCAACAGAAATTTTCAAAACAGGCTAATGGTCTTCCTCATTATAAATAGTGTTTCATTTTCCCACCATAAATAAGTTTTCAAAAGATACCTACTTTTAATTACACTTATAGAATTCTTATAGATGATCCGTGCCAACTCGCCCGTAAGGACTTCTTCAGCATGCTCGAGATTCCCCTAAAGAGTGTGATGTTAAACAACTGAACAGATGGTGCTGACAAGCAGAAAAGGCACTAGGGTCACAATTAACAACCCCAGACTAACTGTGCCACATGACAGCAATCACACATGACATACATCACATCTCTCTCTAGGCCAGTTTCCCTCAGTTGTCAAATGTGCAGCCTGAACAAGATCTTTGATCTTACAACTGCGTTCCCAGGCTCCTAGAGTTATAGCAAGATCACACGGCTTAAGGACCTACTCTCCATCTTGCCCTTAATAGGTCAGGTTTTACGTGCTTTGTTTACCCTTCTATGTAAAATTTTAGCTAGTTTAAAAAGTTCAGAGCTGGAAACCACTGTAACAGATGATAGCAAAGTTCCTTTTTCAGCTCTGACATCCTCAAACTTATTTCTTTAAACTCATTCTGTCAGGTAAAAAATTACATGAATAGAAAAACAAAGAAGGCTAGGGATCATACATTTCACCACCTTTCCTGAGCTCCTTAGAACCATTAACATATCACTGATTGAGATCATAAAGAAGAGTTTTTGGCCATTCCATCAGGAATAATTTCAAGGGCCACTCCAATGAGTCCAAGAGTTTATTTTAAGAGCACAGAATTCCATTTTTACTACTAGGCCCATTTTAATTAAGTCAATGCAGGACATTAGAAGTTTCCAAATATTAAGCTGGAATGAAAAATACATTCTGGGACTTCCTGGATGGTCCGCATGCTAATGCAGAGGATATGTGTTCGATTCCTGGTCCAGAAAGATTCCACATGCCTTAGAGAACTAAGTCCATGTGCTCCAACTACTGAGCCCACGTGCTACAACTACTAAAGCCTGCACACTCTAGGACCCATATACAACAACTAGAGTAGCTCCCACTCACAACTAGAGAAAGCCTCCACGAGGCAATAAAGGCCCAGTGCAGCCAACAATAAATTTTAAAAAAGAAAAAAAAAAAACTCTATTAAAGATTTTCTTTTTATCTCACTTTGTCTCCAAGACCTTAAACCGAGAGCCTCCAGGCCGTCAGTCACACGGTGCTGGAGCTGCTATGGCACTGGAATGGAACCCGCCAGCCACAGGCAGACCAGAAGGTCACGAACAGTGCTCCCAAAGACTTTCTTTGACTCCTAAGCAGATTCCAAACACTCGTATCTTTTTAACAAGTGACAGTGTATTAGGGTCTTACCACATCCATGTTGGCTTTTTCAAACTCTTGCTTTTCCTTCCTCAATTTTTCAGCATGCATCAGCTCCATCCTAAAGTACTACACAAAAAGGAAATAACAAACTAATTATCTTTGGAGATAATTTTTTAGTTAGAAATATGTAAGATGACACTTCTTACTTGTAAATATCAGATCTTAAAAGTTTGGAGAGACTATTGTATTTTACTTTGTTATGAAACTAGCTGACATTGATAAGGTATGGTTTTTTGCTCTTTTGCTTTTGGCCATGCCAGATTTTACAGAAAAAAGAGCAAAAGAAGCAGGAAGGGAGACGAGGGGAGGAAGAAGTGGAGGGGAGGAGACGATGGGAGGGGAGAGTCAATAAACGAGTGCATATATACATATGTACAAAAGTATAAAGATGAACCTTAAGCCTCAACTAAAGAAAGGTTAAGGTTCAACTCCCTATCCCTCCCACCATAATGGGAAGGTAGAGGAGTCTCCATCTCTCACTAAAAATGAACAAGGTAAACACCTACTACTGGCCAAAAAATAAATACTCTTCTGGCCCCTTTTCCCCAGCAGCTCCCTTACTTATCCTGAGACTCCATAAATCAAAGCCTTTTTAACTTAGTGACGCATACATGTCTTCTCCAGAGGACCTAACAGAGCCATTACTCTCATCTTATGTGCACACACACTCACTTCTTCATAAAGTTTCGGGTAACGTGGGTGAAAGCGCAGAGCCCGAAGAAATAGCTGTCTTGCACTTTCTGAAGACAAGTGGTCTTCCATTTCCCATTTCGCCGCCAAAATCCACAAACCTGTAAGTGGAAGACATCCAACTTCATTTCAATCAAGTAATCAAGTCAGGTGTGAAAAGACCAATGCTCCCATTTTTATACCCAACTTTTTTTAACCTTGACAATCAAGAAGAAGGGGATGGAGATACGGAGTTTCCAACAGTTTATAAAGTACTGCTCCTTTATCTAAAATGAAAAAGTGTTCTGAACCGAACTGGTAAATGTTAACATCTGTGGGTACTTATGTGTCTATTACTCTATTTCATCAGATCCAAGGTCAATCATCTCATTTTTAAGTCACATAAAAATTTTAAAAGTGTTCAAACAGTGGGAAAAATTGTGCGTCTTAAGAGTCAATGAAATAAATTATTTTGCTCTTTTCTCTGTATTTAAATCATTTCTCATTTAAATGAAAAATGACTTAAATATTAATGATTTCTTTCAAATGACTCATAATTTAAAATTTTTTTCTACTGTACCTACTGGGAATAAAGACTTTAAAAGAAAAAAACCTTTGCCCTTCTACATGAGAAATTAACCTTTAGTTAACATTCTAGCTCTCTCCTAGAAACTTCATAGAATCAGCTATTACCAGAGAAGACTGCTTTTGGTAAAAATGGCCCATGGTTGGTAACTGTGTCTGGACTAGGAGAACTCTGAACAGTACTGAGCCACTGCGTTGCACTTTCTTGAGCATGTGACTTTTGAAACAAGAGTTTTGAGCAGAGTTCATATATACAATACCTGGAAGCTACATGCCTCCAGGGGTCTTCTCTCCTCTGCCCACTCATGTGTTCTCATGCTCTCACATCTGAGACAAACCTCCAGGCTGCTGAGAGCACTACCGCCTTCCAGCTGAATCCTTCTGAATCAACTGGTGCCAAACGCAGCCAATTCTGAATCTTGTGTAGGGTAAGCCTAATACTCGAGGACACTGAAGCATCTCCACTATAAAATATCGGTGTTCACAAGAGGGGGTTTTCTCCTTGAGTACCTCCCTGTGCAGTGCCACTGCTGATCTTAGTCACTAAGTCGTATCCAACTCATTGTGATCCATGGACTATAATCCGCCCACAATTTTCCAGGCAAGAATACTGTGGGCTGCCATTTGCTTCTCCAGGGGACGTTCCCTGGGACGTTCTTCTCCCAGGGATCGAACCCAAATCACCTGCTCAGCAGGTGGATTCTTTACCATTGAGCCGTCCACGAATAACCCTTGTAAAAATCTGTATTCCTATTTCCCTCTTTAAGTTTCTGAAATCCTCAGATTTGAGTGCCTCCAAACAGAATACCCCTCAAAGCACTAAAGAGTTCCACCATCAGTTAAAAAGAACTGCAGTCCTTCTTGCCCACAGATACAGTATCTAGTAGCTTAGTTACTAGTATACAGCAGGCAGTGATGAACTAAAAGGCAGCTAATTTAGGAATAAAACCTGCTGAGGCCAAGAGCCTACGCTCAGGTCCTGAAAATAATTCTTTCAGGTTTATAAAGCAAAATAAATCCCAAAATGGCTTGAGTCCACAAAAAAAGGTAGATAAAAAACTAACGAGGATATCACCGTACCTGGCTTGTTCGAATGAAAGGCCAACAAGGAAGAAAATAACTTGCTAAGTTGAACATTGGCAGCCTATAAAAGAAAAGAGAAAATTCTACTTCCTGCACAGCAAAGGCACTGCTATGAACCTCTAAGTGATCTGGACTATACTGTAACCCCCTGTAAAATCCAATGAGGCAAGATCTGTTATTGCTAGGGAGATATAAACAAAGATTCACTCAGAGCTTTCTTCTTCCTAAACAACTACAGATAAATATTTTACATTATCTAAAAAATGTTTTCAACTTTAATGAACAAATACACATAAAGGTCGTTTTCCTTTCAACTGATATAGAAGCCATCTATATAGTCATTCAGACACACAAATGTTATACTGAAGTCCCACATTCTTGAGTTCTCTTCCTGTTTGTTAACCTTCCCTACATCTTAGGATAAAACTGAGTTCAGCAATCAAGTATGAGGTTTAACATGCAGGCTAACCAAAAGAAGGAAAAAGGGAGCAAGACAGGGCTGCCCAATACTCACCCACTTCCTACAAAAGGCTACAAAAGACAGCCAAAGCTTAACATCATCCTGCAAGAAAAGCAATGTAGTAAGTTGCCTGAATTTAAAATTTTATATACATCTTTGCATTCATTAATTTTGTTTCCAACAGAGGAAGATTTCAGAAATTCCAATGTATTATATACCACATCCCTCAGCCTATTAGGCTGTCTCTCACCCAGTCTTTAGATCTCTTAACCATGATAACTGTCTGTCTCCCCCTCACCCCCACCTCCCATGCTCTAAGACAAAAATCTATCCAATTTGTTTGATGCACTTTTGAGGGATTTGCCTGGCACTCCAGCGGTTAAGACTCCATACTTGCAATGCGAGGGGCACAGGTTTAATCACTGGCCGGGGAACTAAGATCCCACATGCCATGCATCACAACCAAGGAAATATATTTTTTTAAACGCACTTCTCAAAAAAAAAAAAAAAAAAGCACTTCTGAAATGGTCTCAATCAGGAGTCGCAAATTAAAATTTGTCATTCCCAAGAAACCAGAGTACTTCCCAGATAATATATCCTGGCCCCAGAACCAAACCTGAAGAAAAACCAACTTACTGAGCTGCTGCCCCTACAAGGTCAAACCAGTCCATCCTAAAGGAAATCAACCCTGAATATTCATTGGTAAGGACTGATGCTGAAGCTGAAACTCCAATACTTTGGCCACCTGATGCAAAAAGCCTTCTCACTGGAAAAGACCCTGACGCTGGGAAAGACTGACGGCAGGAAGAGAAGGGGGGGCGACAGGATGAGATGGTTCGATGGCATCATCGACTCAATGGAAAAACTCTGGGAGATAATGAAGGGAAGATAGACAGGGAAGCCTGGCATGGGGTTGCAAAGTCAGACACCACTTAGCGACTGAACAACTCTCACTTAAGAGACATAACCAAACACATCTCAGATAATTTTATCATCCTTAAATATGTATGAAATCCACTGTTTTCAGCATCATCCTCAAAAAATAACTCTAAGGTAACGCAATCAATTTTCTTTATGGTTGATAACATGGTTTCAAGTAATGATACTATCACTAGAATAAGCATCAAGATACCCATGATAAGAATCCACAACCTCACATTTGAGCATCCAAGTCATAACACATACAACACATGTCCTCACATCTCTCACAGTTAAGGACACACTGAACACTTACTTTCCACTTAATCGTTGCACGTTGGAAGACACTCTGTATCCGACGTATCATAGGGTCCTCAATCTCATCCTTCTTAAATGTGTATCCAGCACGCTGAAAAAGGACATTAAAAAAAAAAGCCTCAGCTTAATCCCACTTATTCAAACCAGCATTCCCACTTGATCTTAAACAGTACTGACAGAGAAAGCAAACAGTTAAAAATATCACTACGATCACACTACCACAAAATTATCAGTGCCAATTGCTCCCCAAACCCAAGTTCTAGAGTCATATTAATTAATACTGTATTTTTTTCAACTTTCAGAAAATCTACTTACAGCTCTTCTTTTGTGGATCAGATCCAAAAGGTAAATTTCATACTGTGAAAGAAAAACATACATAAAAAAGAAAACCAGAAATATTATAACCTTTTATTTACAGGCTATAAAACTATAAAGTAAATAAAAATCAAGAGTATAAAACAGAAGATAACTTTCTATCAAGAAACCTAATTTACAGTATGTATCTAGCATTCTCTGAAAATGCACCTTACATCTACAAAACTCACAAATACATACATTAGAATACAAATATCTTAGATAAAAGAACACATATTACTAAAGCTCTAAAACTTATGATTTACTATATCAATCTAACCTAGTCTACAACAGTGTGTGCCAACTTTCAGTAAATCAACCATTCAAATATTTTAGCCCATGTACAAGCAAATAAAGCAGATAAACAGGGTTGTACTAGTTGAAACAGTCCCTAATTGGCTCTCCCTACCCTCACCTCTAAAGGACCCCTGAGAACCTCTAAGACTCTCCAAAAACCACTACTGTATAATTCCTCTCTAAGCCTGAAAACTACCGGGCGCGGGGGCAGGAATACTAGAAAAAGAAAGCACAGAACCTTACAAGATCTCATGCTTCATTTTAAAACTAACAAAATATTTCAAACATACAGAACACTCAAGCAGCTACCAGTTACATCAAAACCTACATTTTACTGTATTTGCTTCAAGATATTTTTAGAAACAAAACATTTCAAATAAAGGCAAAGCCCCCTATGAACCATGTCTGATTCTACTCTTCTTCTTCCCCAGAGGAAATGACTATCTTGACTCAGTTGTTTATCATTAACAAGCATGACTTCAATTATTGTAATACAGTCTTAAATGCTCTTAAACTTGATACAAATGGTATCATACTGAACCCATCACTCCATTATTTTACTCAACATTATGACTTTAGATATATCCTTGTTGTCACACAGAATTCAAGTCCATTCATTTTAACTGCTGTATAGTATTTCATTATAAGAAAGTGCAATTTACCTATCCTTTCTCCTGTGATAGTATTTGTTTCCAATTTTTCTATTACAGAAAGTTGAAATTAATATTCTTGAACAGATCTTCTTGTAGATACATCCAGGAACTTTACTAACAACATGTAAGCTCCTAAAGGCAATGATTTTTGTTTATTTTTGTACCCCCACTGGACTGGCTAGTGCCATGTACGTAACAGGCCCTCAATATACACTGTATGAATGAATGAAACCACTGGGTCACAGAATACATGCATCTCTGATTTTATGATAGTGCCAAATTGTTCTTCAAAGTAGTGGAACAAACTATATACTAATAATGTCAATCTTTAAGATGTCTGTAAATGTGATGCCATAAAGCAGTAGTGCGCCCTGGTTTTAATCGATATTTACCTGATTGCTAGAAAGGTGAACACCTTTTCATAAGTTTACCAAGGACTGATGCTTTCCCTTTTGTGAATGGCATGTTCCTAGCTCTCCTGCTTTCATTTTCTTCCCACTTGTCATTTTTTCTTTATTTTTAGTTCTTTACTTATTCTAGGTTATTACTATATGTACTGCAAATATTTTATCTCATTTTGCGGCTTGTCTTTTTATATTATTTATCTTTTCCTTTTTGCACAGAAATTTCTACCTTTAAGAATCAAATTGGCCTTCTCTTTCATGGTTTGTGCTTACAACTCACTCATAAAAAAAAGAATGAAATAAGGCCATCTGCAGCAAAATGGACAGACCAAGAGACTATTGCTGCTACTGCTGCTGCCAAATCGTTTCAGTCATGTCTGACTGTGTGACCCCACAGACAACAGCCCACCAGGTTCCCCCGTCCCTGGGATTCTCCAGGCAAGAACACTAGAGTGGGTTGCCATGTCCTTCTCCAACACATGAAAGTGAAAAGTGAAGGTGAAGTCACCCAGTCATGTCTGACTCTCAGCGCCCCCATGGACTGCAGCCTACTAGGCTCCTCTGTCCATGGGATTTTCCCAGCAAGAGTATGGGAGTGGGGTGCCACTGCCTTCTCCGAGATACACACTACTATATATAAAATACATAAGCAACAAGATCCTACTATATATAGCACAGGGAACTATAATCAATATCATGTGATAACCCATAATGGAAAAGAATACGAAAAAGATTTTGTGTGTGTATATACACACACATATATATGTATGAATAGCTGAATCACTTTGCTATCCACCAGAAATGAACACAGCATAGTAAATCAACTACACTTCAATTTAAATAAGAAACCTTTCCTGAGATGAAATCTCATACATCCTTTATATATGGAATCTTAAAAAAAAAAATTAAAAAGACACAAATGAACGTACTCACCAAACAGAAAGAGACTCAGAACACAGACTCATGGTTGCCAGAGGGAAGGAACAGTCACTTTGGGAAGGTCATGTACACACTACTACATTTAAAATGGATAACCAACAAAAACCTATTGTATAGCACATGAACTCTACTCAATGTTATGTGCCTGCCTGGGGGAGAATGAATACATGCATATATATGTATAGCTGAGTCCCTTCCCTGTTCACCTGAAATTATCACAACACTGTTAATTGGCTATACCGCAATATAAAATGTTCTTGGTGTTTAAAAGAAATAATAAAAACAAAATTTTAAAAAGCAAAAAGAAAATAGAAACTCTTCCCAACCTGAAGTCATTCATTATTTTTAGAAGATTTAAAGTTTCCCCAACACATTTAGCTATTCAATTCAACAGGAAGAGATCTAATTTCTGTTGAATCCAGCGCGGCATTTTGCATGATGTACTCTGCATGTAAGTTAAATAAGCAGGATGACAACACACAACCTTGACATACTCCTTTCCCAATTTGGAACCAGTCCATTGTTCCATGTCCAGTTCTAACTGTTGCTTCTTGACCTGCATACAGGTTTCTTAAGAGGCAGGTAAGGTGGTCTGGTATTCCCATCTCTTTCAGAATTTTCCAGTATGTTGTGATCCACACAAAAGCTTTAGCATAGTCAATGAAGCAGAGGTAGATGTTTTTCTGCAATTCCCTTGCTTTTTCTATGATTCAGCGGATGTTGGCAATTTGATCTCTGGTTCCTCTGCCCTTTTTTTTTTCCCTCTGCCTTTTAAAACATCTGGAACATCTAGAAGTTCTTGGTTCATGTATTGCTGAAGCCTAGCTTGAAAGATTTTGAGCAATACTATGCTAGCTTGTGAGATGAGTGCAACCGTGCATTAGTTTGAACATTCTTTGACATTGCCTTTCTTTGGGCTGAAAATGAAAACTAACCTTTTCCAGTCCTGTGACCACTGCTGTTTTCCAAATTTGCTGGCATGTTAAGTGCAGCACTTTAACAGCACCATCTTTTACGGTTTGAAATAGCTCAGCTAGAATTACATCACCTCCACTAGCTTTGTTTGTAGTGATGCTTCTTAAGGCCCACTTGACTTCACACTATAGGATGTCTGGATCTAGGTGAGTGATCTCACCATCATGGCCATCTGGGTCATGAAAATCTTTTTTGTATAGTTCTTCTGTGTATTCTTGTCACCTTTTCTTAATATCTTCTGCTTCTGTTAGGTTCATACAGTTTCTGTCCTTTATTGTGCCCATCTTTGCATGAAATGTTCCCTTGGTATCTCTTATTTTTCTTGAAGCAATCTCTAGTCTTTCCCATTCTATTGTTTTCTTCTACTTCTTTGCACTGATCACTTAGGAAGGCTTTCTTATCTCTCCTTGCTATTCTATTAAACCTTAGGACCTTTCAAATACAAGATTCTTAGCCAGGTATCATTCTTAGTCATATATCATTAACTAGGTTTTTTTTTAAAACTAGGGTTTTTTTTAATCTAAGCTTTAGACCCTTTACTCTTATAATGTTTGTTAGTCTTAAATTTTAAGACTTACAACATCTCCTTATTGGGTTCTTTCTGAATCCTGAATTTGTCCTCCAACAGATTATTCTCGCCAAACTGAAAATTGATCTAGTATATATATTTTATCTTCATTCAATTCTTCCATTCATTCACAGGACTGAAGAATCTTGTAGCAAATCTAACCTCTTTCTAAATCAACAGACTACAAGCATCTAATATTAACTTTCTAACCACCTGTTAGCATCAAACTCACACTCCTTTATTTTTCCCCACAAGACATAATCAAATCTCTTGCTGAAATTCCAACACACCGGTTTTTTGGAGTGTCTGATGTACTAATCCTACAGAATAATAAAAAGTTGTTTTCCAAGGACAAAAGCCTTAGCAGAGCAACACTATTCCCAAGTCACCTCTATTCCTGTTCAAAAACTGCCTTTCTACTCACCATCAGTTCCAGAAGTTCAAAAGAAACTGACATCAAGCTAACTGTTCTATAACTGATTTTAAATTTGTGAGGGGATTCAGAGGTAGTAAAATTACTCACCTGAACATATCTGATAAAGCTGTCCTTTGAAAGACTTCTTCGCTGTATTCCATATTCTAGTTCTGAAACCTTCCTAATGATTGCCCTGAGGAGAAAGCCACTTAAAATGTAACACTTGACATACGCAGAAATGAAAGACTTTGGAATTTTAAAAGTCTATTTTCAATACATTTGAAACATACATTTGCCAAAACATATAATTCCCAAATAATTATCCTTCATTAAGCAAATACTCTCTTATACAATCACTTCTGTATTCTTTATTATTATTACTAAGGCATAATTGATTTACAGTATTTATTAGTTTCAGGACTTATGTGGTCTCAAGAGCATGAAGATGTACTTTAAAACTTTCATGTAAATCACCTCAATTGACAGCCTGGACCACTGATAGTCCCACCGGCAAAGATTTCTTTTCCTCCAAATTCAGGTCACTTCAGTTTAAATAACAAACAAATTTATTTCCTAAATTCCCCTTCTTTCTGAATTCTCAACAAGCAGATTAGAAAAAAACCAATCTGGATTGTCTCTACCAGTATCATTACTACAAAGGGCTTATGGTGGAAGACTCGCTGTATTTAAGAAATGAACATGGGTATATTAGAATTAAAGCAAGATGTGCAAGACCAAAAATCGCCTCTATTTAACGGTAACAATAACATTTACTAAACAGTTATTAAAGAATTAACAATATGTTACGTTTCATTAACAAATGTTAAAGGTTCCCAGAGTCACAGTACTACATTTGCAGTCACTGTAAAATGAAAAAAGTCACAGAAAGCTATTAAAAACTATTAAACTAAATTTTAACAAACTAATGAATAACTACATGCTGGTCGTGGTTCACTAAGCCCGAGGATAAAACATGAAACTGAATTAAATGATCCCCAAAGTCAAGTCTTTTCAGAGAAAACATCACTCGTGGACCCACGGTCCAGTGGCGAAGAGACGCAAGAGACGCCGGTTCAATCCCTGGGTCGGGAATACCCCTTGAAGTAGGAAATGGCGACCCGCTCCAGCATTCTTGCCCGTAAAACTCTATGGACTGAGGAACCTAGCGCGCTACAGTCTGTTCACGGTGTCGCAGGGTGAGACGCAACAGAGCAGTCACACACCCCTAGGCGCACAGCACTCTGTTGGCATCTTTAGGCAGTACACTCGGCTACAAACAACTTACAGCACACTGTACCGTGCAAAAAATGTTTCACTTGTCTCACTCCCCTTCCGCCCCCCGCTACTGTGTCAGGGCTGCTGCTAGCTGTTGAACGGTAGGGGTCCTGGTTGTATTACCTTTAGAGCCTCAAAACTCGGCTCCATGAAGAAACATACTGTTTGCGGGGAAAAAGGACGCATCCCCTAGCAATGAATGAGAAATTAATTCTAGGTAACAAAAATCTGTAAACGGCCTTCCGCCATATTAGCAAAAAATAAAAACCCAACTGCCCCCGCCACACACTCGCCACTGCCTCTCCTCTGCCCGCCCCAGCCCTCCCTCTTTCCTCCGCTCTCTCACCTAATCTCGGCCTCACTGAAGAGTCCAGTGCGCTCCAACTGCTGTAATTCGGGAAGTCGATCCTCTAAACGTTCCTGAGTTATTTCCGCCATGATAGACGAACTCCACAACCCACCAGAGCTCCTCTCAGCGACGACACACGAAGGAAATGGCCACCGTCTAATCCCGAGAACCGGCCAAAACGTTCGCACGTGCTGACGTAACGAGCGCCTTAAGTCCCGCCTTTTCCGCTTCCGCCGCCTCCACCATAGGACAGGGCTTCCTGGCTCTTGCGGCCGCTGTCTCCTCCTGGTGGCTGACTGTGGGGTTGCAGCGAGTACCTCCTCAACTCTTGTACTCGAGGTCTGGAGTTGGGACGCGGGGCTTAGGATGGGGGCGGCGCTAAATTCGCGCACGGATAGACCTGGCCTGGGACTGGGAAAAGCACCTCGCGGTCTGGAGGGTTTTCCTGAAAGGGGCCTGAAATGCATTTTCTGCAAGATCCTGTCTCCTTTTATTCTGGTTTCCAACACTTAGAACCAAAATACAAACACCCCAAGGGGGAAGGATAGAAAATATCGTAAAACTGTAGTAAGCTTTTCAGAGAGGAGTGATGAAAATTGTAGGGGGCGCTAAAAATGGTTCAGGCTGTCCCAAACACTATGCCTTTGCATTCGATGAGATTTGGTAAACTAGTGTGATAACACTGGTTTTTCATGTGCCAATTAGATAGTGATTAATTTTTAAATGAGGAGAGAGTTTTTATATTTAAAAAACTATACTGCCTTTGCAGACAATATCTTTCAAAACATGGCCGGCCCCTGGGTCGATATCAGAAACTTTTTTTTTATAAGAAGAAGGAATCTTGGTATTGAAAAGTTTGGGAGTTGCCCAAATAAGAGTCCATAAGATACATACCCTCCTGAAACCTCTGCCGAAGCAAGTCAGCATTTCTAAGAAACAGACAACCGAGCCTGAAAGTGATATTGTTCGTGTCATTACTAAATCTAAAATATTAACTATGTGGCTCAGTTCTTTTTAAGTTCTGGAATATGATTTCAAAATACCAAAGCAGGAGTTCTTGCTAGACCCGTTTATTTCAACATTGGCATTAGTAACTTGATCCTCCATGTGATTGATTAAAGGGGAATATAGGCTTAGCAATTAACCATGTTCTACCCTTGATCCTTCCCTTTCTTTTTTTCTCCCCTTCTGGTCTCAGATTTTAGGCTAAGGGTGGCTTGATTCTTGGTCCCCTCAGCTGTAAGACATGAGGGATGTGGAAGGAAATTATGGGTGTAAAACACAGATGGAATTTCTTTATAATAGGAAAATCTCTGGGGCCTGTTTTAACAGTAAGAGCACAAATGCCCCTAGAGAGTAAGGTCCATATGGGCAGATTTTTGTTTCCTCTACCTTGATACCTGGGACCTTAGAACAGTGCCTAAAATGTAACAAACACTCAATTAGTAAAATCATGACAGAATGAGAAAATGTACTGAATGTTCTTTAGGTCCAAAGGAATCAGCAAGCTCTGGTAAACTTTCCTTTCAAGGCAAATTTGATGGATAACTACATCAAATCAACCCAACTATAATACTTTGCTCTCTTATTTTCAAATTTAGCTTCTACGTTTATCTTGCTCTGCCTGGTTAGTCACGTCTGACTCTTTGCAACCCCATGGACTCCTTGCAACCCCTGCCAGCTCATCTGTCCGTGGGATTTCCCAGGCAAGAATACTGGAGCAGGTTGCTGCTTCCTCCTCCAGGGGGTCTTCCCCACCCAGGAATCAAATCCAAATCTCTTGTGTCTGCTGTGTCTCCTTCATTGACAGGCAGATTCTTTACCACTAGCACTACTTGAGAAGCCCCTTATGTGCTCTAAGAATTATTACAGTGATAATGACAAAACTTCTTTTGTCTCTTCTGCATCTCATAATCATAGTTATCACTTGTTTCTAGGACTTACCAATACTGTGTGCCCAGCACCTACGTGCACTAAGTTTTCTATAGATTAACTCTTCTGTTCATCACAGACATTTCAAAATATCAACCTGAGAAGGAGCTCTTGAAGAGATAAAAAGCACTATTAAAGAAAGTCCAGTACAGCAGAAGAAACTGCGTAATACCCCCTGGCTCTCAGAATCCTTAGCTCAGCACAGCCTCCTTTCTGTTTGTATTGTTTTTTTACCCATGCCACTCAGGATGTGTGGGATCTTAATTCCCTGACCAGGGATCGAACCCGTGTCCCCTTTATTGGAAGCTCAGAGTCTAATCACTGGACTGCAAGGGAAGTCCTTGAGCACACCTTCTAATTAAGAAACCAAGGGCCTGAGAAAAAGTGCTCTTGAGTCTGGAGCTCTAAGGTGTACCTCAGAAAGCTTGGCGTATCTATCCATCCTTTATTTGACCTTTAAAATTAACCATAGATATCAGATTATTAAGCAGGTCCAGACTGTAAAGAACCTGCCTGCAATGCAGGAGACCCAGGTTCAATCCCTGGGTCAGGAAGATCCCCTGGAGAAGGGAATCGCTACCATTCCAATATTCTTGCCTGGAGAATTCCATGGACAGAAGAGCCTGGTGGGCTACAGCCCATGGGCTCTCAAAGAGTTGAACATGACTAAGCAAAGAACACTTTTCACACTTTTACTGACTGGGAAGGGGGCACAAGGGAGCCTACTGGGTGCTGGAAATTTCTGTATCTGATCTAGATGGTTTTTATATGAATGTAATAAATTATAAAATTCCATCCATTGAGGGATACACTTAAGATTCGTGCACTTTATGAAAGTTATACTTTAAAAGAAAAACATTAATGCCCATGCCTTCTCTTTGAGGATATCTTTCTCTTAGAGAGCTTCGACTATAATTTTGATGTGTGTGGCAGGGTCAAAATATTGACACAAAAGACCAAAGCCTTCTTCCTCTGAAAGAGTTCATTCTAATTTTGCATTCTGGCCCACAGTAGATTAGTGTTTGTTTGAATATAAGTTATCCTGGTTTTCCCCCAAGCTTGTCAAGGAAGATTACTTCCAGAAAGCTGTACCCTGCTCACCTGGTGTAGAGCAACATTTGGTCCCATTGCAATGCTCAGAAGACAATTTGGAAAACAGTAAAGACAGGTCTCACTTGGGGTCCCAAGACAATCTTTTAAGAAGTCTGATGGATGAACATTAGCCAGACATTTGAGTGTGTGAGTGCATGTGTTCAACATTTTGTGACTCCATGGACTGTAACCCGCCAGCCTTCTTGGTCCATGGGATTTTCCAGGCAAGAATACTGGAGTGGGTTGCCATTTCCTCCTCCAGGGCATCTTCCCAACTCAAGGACTGAACCCATGTCTCCTGCATTGGCAGGTGGATTCTTTACCACTAGCACCACCTGGGAAGCCCCAGATATTTGCAAATCAAGTTATAATTTCTATTATGGCCTTCAAAGTACTTAAATGTTAATTTCAAAATAAACTTTAACTTTTCCCTAGAATATTCATTGTCACATCTGAAGATTAAGTTAACGGATAGCTCAGTGGTTGAAAACAACAGTGAAGGAATTCCTTGGCAGTCTAGTGGTTAGGCCTCTACACTTTTACACTTTCACTGCTGGGGCCTGGTTCAAAAAATGCCAGCAGAAAAAGAAACACTCCTTTCTTTATTCCATTTTTATTATTAGGTAAAGAGATGTACCTAATTTCAGTGCTAATGAGAGGAGAGACACCTGGAATCCCATCCCCCTATCTTGTTCAAAGTCCCCTGCCTGCTTCTCCCACACAGAGAGCCCTGGTAGACTTCAAAGTCACAGCAGAAGTGATAGACACAGTCTGGTCTTTGATGCCTAAGAACATCTGAGCCCTCAGTTTGATGCGGATGCAAAGCATCTGTACTTTTCAATCCTTTCATGTTATTTCACGTTGCTAACAACAAAAGCTGAAAAGTTTGAGGTGACATGCATTACACACATTAAAATATTTGGAACCAGGAACTTTTCATTTCTTTTTCTATTATATATAGCTTCTTTTACTTTCAGAACCACACTGGATAGTAAATTACTTCTGGCACGCAGCCTTGTCAGCTTGCCAAATTTCAACTGGAGCAAGTTTTTACAGCTAGGCTAATAAGCCCTGAAAATTAGGAGGTAAGTATAATGGAAATAATGACATGGTCTTTAACTGTAGGAGCATAGAATGACAACGTGAGGTTCCAATAGATTACACTTTTCAAAGTTTTTTTATTCTAACGAAATCTTTTTAAAATTTTTTAGGTTATTCTAGTTCAAAATTCATGTAAATGGAAAGAGTTTCTTTTAATTGGTGAAAAGTACTTTTGTATTTTTTTTTTTTTACTTTTGTGTTTTTTATGTTATTGCTTTTTGCAAATTCAGGGGGAAAAAAGAAAGAAAGAAAGAAAACCAAGAATATAGTAGCTTGGAGATAACAACCTACTATTAAAACAAACTGACATCTTGAAAAAACATGTTCTGAAATGATTGGCTTCCAGGATGGGGTGCAATTGTTTGTGTATGAATACTTTTCATCAAAGCCATAGCTAATTAGCTACATCAACTTCATTTCAATCCAGATAGAAACCCATACCCTGCTCAGTAACTTTCAGGTCTTTATGAACAAATCTTCAAAAAATGGAAAATTACTGTGATCATTTGATTTTTATTGCTGAAACAGGTAGTATCGATTGTAAGGTAGTATCCATTTCTCTAAATTTAATTCTTACATCCATTCCCAATTTACAAATGACCAGGGAAATTCTTTTTCCCCTTCTTGCTCTGCCCTCCGATTAGACCTAGACTGATTAGCTTCAGCATCACGTGCTCAGTCCCAGATTGTTTAAGCAAGGAAGAAGCTTGGAGTTGTGTTATGTGTGTGTGTGTGTTTTAACTATATTAAAATAATATGGCCTTGCTCCAAAAATGCTAGCTTTCTTATAGCTCCCCAACCACACCACGCTGTTTTGTACTTCTGTCGATGCCCCTGTTCCATGTGCCTGGCATGTCTTTTGTCCCCTTATCTACTTGGCAAACATAGATCATGGTGGGGAAAAAAAGGAAGCCGGCCCTTAATGCCCCACCATCCCACCATCAACACCAATTTGTGTACTTAC